CTCTCGCGAGTGCTCATGACCCTCGCTATGGTTAGAAGGACGTGCACCAGCTCCCGACCCACTAGCACTAGGAGTATTGATATGAGACATGGCAGCCGCTACAGCCGCCGTGACTGCTGCTTGAAACATAGCAGCGTCGAATTGAGGAGGTGGTGGTGGGGGTGGCGTCGGTGCTTCATTGTCACGTCTTGGATTTCTACGAGGAGGCATCTTTTCTATACAAGTTAAAAGATAAAAGATGGTAAGATATCAAGAATGAATATGAATTTGATATCTCTGAACGAAACACTTAATTCAACACGAATCTTGTAAAGGATTGGAAATAGAAATCTATTGCAAAAACAACTTGCAACAGGATAATATGAATTTGAGTGGTTATTTTTCAAAGAGTATGAAAATACATGTCGACTGTATTGGTATATTAAGTATATGTAATCTGGAACACTTGACCTTAAAGCAGTTCTATAATATACCACAATACTGAGGAAGCGTCGACATCAAACCGACCTATCGAAAATAAAATTTATGTGGTCGTATCGAAAAACATGAAAAATAACACTAGAACATATCTGTAAACCAAAACTTTAGAATATAATGTTTATGAAAATTGTAATAACTCTTGTTGAAGTAAAGTGCTTATTGTTTTATTGATACCCGATTTTGTACATATCGTGAAAAGTAGTATATACATTCGATATAGAAAGTAGAAAGTAGAAGTAGTGCGAACACTACTTGCGGCGGTTGCTACGACGGTTGCTAGGTTCCGCTTCGTCTTGTGCTTTCCAGCGCCTTTCTTGGGCAGCTTGATGCTCTCTCAATTCTCTTATCTCTGATTGAGCAGCATTGACTTGACTTTTAAGGGCTTCTGTATGATGTTGGGTGTCATCCTGCATTTTATCAAGACGAAGGATATCTGCAGTGTTAGCCTGCGCAACCGTATTCACTTGTAGGATTCGATTGATCGAAATCCTTGATTGATCGTCTTGCCGGGCTATTCGGTTTACTATAACTGGAAGAGCTCTATCAGCTGCTCCTGCTCTAGAGACGTTATAGAAACCTCGTGCCATTCCGTAGGGAGGGCGTTGGCCGTCTTGCCGACTCCAATGGTTTATATATTGGCCCCACTCGGGTATGGGTTCTGCTTCATCTTGTCTCACGGGACGCTCCCCAGGGTTGCAGACTTGTGGCTCTGTATCCGTACCACTAGATTCGCTGTCTTCAAATGGTTCTTCATTCGAGTCTGAGATCCAGCCTGCATTTTGTGGATTGTAGGGGTCCCCCGGTAAATTGTGTTCAGCCATAGGTTCTGTATTAGAGGTAAGGTTAGTAAAATACTCTCCGTAGTATTTTAATCTTTGTGTTCTGTTCTATAGTTCTTCTGAATATGTATGGTAAGTTTTAGACATGTCGCAACACCACTATCACTCCCAAACACATGTTGGTCATATCTCAAATCAATATAGTTGATCAGGCTATATTAATTCCAGATATGATTACATAACTGCCCAGGTTTGACTATAGTGTTCAACATCCAAATACTTTTAAGTTCTTATGACTGTGATATTGTACTTGTAGGTATGAGTGTTAGTATACTTCTTGTAAAAATACTTAAATCTTTAAAAAGTATACTTGTAGTCAGAGCTCTTAGCCCCGATGTATTTATAGTTTGTATATCTTTTATGGATTGATATACTGAGTTCACTATAAACAATGCTCTGATACCAATCTGTCACACCCCCAAACCAAACGGCGGAAACGTCCGGGGGTGGAGGACTTCATTTGTAGTATCCCAACACATGCATCATAGTAATCAAAGTACAAACAACCATTGTATTTAAAAAGTATAATTATTTACATATGTTCAATCATTGTATTTGGAAACCCAAATAATTATACAAAAGAAGAAGATATGACTCAAAGTAGCTCCATCTTCTCAAAAAGCTCGGGGAGTACCTGTTTGTTGTTTCCCTGAGAATACAAGTAATTTGAAAAGGGAGTATCATCATAAAGTTGAGTGAGTGCATAAGTGTTTATGTTTGAAAGGGTGTCTCTGTATCTTGCATATGTAAACTGTTCCAGAAAATCCTATATTTTCTGTTGTATATGAAAAGTAGTTTTATTCCCATAAAACCGTTCTCTTTGTACATCAATGTTTGGTATTTGTATTCCTTTATGTAAAATTTGTAACTGAGAGTGTGCCTGGCTTCACCAGCTGTTATTGAAAACTGTATTGTACTATTGTAGTTTGTATTCTGTAAACTGGTACTTTGAAGGTGTACTTACGTTTAGTTGATTATACACTAACATATTGTTAATATCTTTTTAATGAGTTATTATAACCATACTAAGACATGATGGCCTGACACAAACGATTTGTGGGCGTTTAAACTATTGATAACAATTGCCACTCATTGGCGTGTATGCCTGACTGTAGCTAGCAGCCTGAGTGCGGGGTTGTCAATCCCGATATAGATCTACACACAACTTGTTTCGATCCCCTGACCGGAGACTCTGGTTATAATATCAGGGCTTTACCTTGGTTGTCTAAATGAATTAAACAACCTGAATTGAATGACTCATAAAAAGCATATAAACGTTACATGTATATTAGTCATGAAAACCCAATCATTCTGAAATAAATGATTGACAGTATGTTCTTGAATGAACATGTATTTGACAAGTGTAAACCCTTGATTTGTTTTGAATCAAAACCCTTGTTTCTTGTAAAACAGTGTATTCTAGTATACTTGAATCATGAATTATTGTTCTATGTATCATAAATTATGCCTGTTATAATTTATATGTACTTTCTGAATCGGTATTTAACTATTTTTGCATGTAACCCCTTGCTCAACATGTTACAAAGGTATTTGAACTGATGAAATAACTTTTATATTTATATACATACCCAATTCTATATATAAGTAAAATTTAAACGACGCTTGGACAAATAACCGGTACTATAAGCCCACATCCAAACAAGGAAAAGGACCCAGAATGAGTTATCAGTCCTAAGCCTTTTAAATCTAATTTATATATATATATATATATATATATATATATATATATATATATAAATATGAATTTTGGGGAAAAATATAAGTTTATAAAAGAGTTTAATGTTTTGAGTATTTTTGATGATTTAATGTTGTTTTATCATGATTTGAAAGCATGATTTTATAACACAAAGTTCTTGTGTTATACTTGTATTCCCCCCCCCCCCCCTTAAAACAGTAGAAATTATGAAAATATGAGGGTATGAACTCACATGATAGGTGGTGATTTGGACAGCGTTTCGTTTCCTGGAAAGGAGTTTATTTGACGAAAAACCGGCTTAAATCGAGCAGAGTTTCGACTGGAGAAAGTTGTTTTTCTCGGGAATCTCGGGTCTTCGAGGCTTTCTTAGGGTTTTAGACTTGATACCGGGGCTTTAGGGGTTGTATATAAGTTTGTGGAAGTGAAAGAAGTGAAAAGAAATGGAAAATGGGGTGAAAAGTGTAAAAATCCGGAAGGTCTCGCATGCCTTATATAGGCCGAAGCCTCGGATCCGAAGCTAGGAGAAGCTGCCGCATGCTCGGACAGGTGGCGAGGGAAGAAGGCTCGCTTCGGACAGCTGGCTCGGTGGTGTCGGATCAGGAGTGGACCGAACTTCGGTCCAATCAGGAGGAGGCACGGTGCGAGTTCGGATGCTCCAGGGTGCGAAGGGCGTGTCCGATGTGTACTGGACCTCAGCCTCGGTCCAATCAGAAGGTGACACGCACAAGTTCGGTCCAATCAGAAGGTGCCACGAGGCGGACACGGGGAAGCCTCGCATGCGAGGGTGACGTGGCCGAAGGTACACCATGCGAAATTGCCCGGTTTTCAACATTTCTCGATTTTTGTGCCAAAAAACTGCGAAATTCATAACTTTCACATACGAGCTCCGTTTTCGACGTTATTTATATGCACGCGTAGGTAAAATTATACTATACGACTTTTGTTTAGACTTCGTTGGCTAATTTTGATTTATTTTTAATATTGTTATTTTTAACAGATCGGGACATGAAATCCGTTAAAAATTCATAACTTCTTCATCCGACGTCCGTCTTTGTCTGTCTTTTTACCGTTGTACTACTATTGACGAGACCTTCAATTCTCGTTTAGGTTGTGTCGGCTAAAAATCACTCGATCTTTATTTCGAGTTTTTAGCTGTACGTTGCTATACTGAAACTTTGAAAAATCGTAACTTCCTCATATGAAGTCAGATTTTGCCGTTCTTTTTATGAAAGTTCTAGGTTTAACATAAACTACAACTTTCATTTAGATTGTTATGGCTAAAAAGTCTTTTATTGAAAATTCAGTTTTTACACTGAACAGCGTTTTGCCGGTTTTGTCGCGGATCTTCGATTGGTCATAACTTCTTCGTTATAACTTGGATTTTAGTGTTCTTTATATTTTTTGAAACCTTGTTACAATCTCTACCACATGGTTCATCCCAATCGAGATTGTTTAATAATTTATTTTTGAGGGTCAATTATGTAAATATACACAGTATGCTAAAATTTCTCTTTATTGTTTTAAAAAGAACTACAAATTGTCTTACATTATTACATAGGTTTGAAATAACGGTTTGTTACAATGTCAAGTCGGCTTTTCTCAATGGAGATCTCAAAGAGGAGTTTATGTCACCCAACCAGGAGGATATGTTGATAGAGCAAACAGTCACAAGGTGTTCAAGCTTTATAAAGCTCTTTATGGTCTACGACAAGCTCCTCGAGCTTGGAACATTTGTTTGGATAAAAGCTTAAAAATGATTAGTTTTACAAAAAGTTCACAAGACCCAGCTGTTTACAAAGGAACTCAAAAGACAAAATTTTTATTGTTGGTGTCTATGTTGATGACTTGATCATTACCGGGTTGAACACTAACGACGTTGTCGAATTCATTGTTGGGTTGAAACATGGTGGAGAAGAGCGAGAAAGACGGCGGCGCAAAGTCCACGACTGGCGGAGAGGAGAGAAATGGTGCATAGAGAATGTGAGAATGCGACAGTCCAGCGTCAGATACCGGTGGCGGAAGCTTTGCTTTCCGGCGTTAGAAATAAGTTATTCGGGTTTTTTTTCTTAAACTCTATGCTTGAGTTAAGATTTGTGTATGATTAGATTTTCATTATTTTTATAATGTTTAAGAGATATTAGAATGCCTTTTTTTTGGTAAATTATCTTTTGATATATAGAAACAAAATCATAAGTTTTTTTTTCTAAACCCTACTTAATAACTCATTGAAATATTTGTAGGGAGTAACAACAATGGTGGTCGTTCCTCGAGTAATGGGTAGTGTTCCAAAAAACAACCAAATACTTTGTTGTGCTTACAATTCCAATGGAAGTGTGTTTGTTACTGGTAGCTCTCTGATACATTTGCAAGACACCATACCAAACATATATATATATATATATATATATATATATATATATATATATATATATATATATTATAGCTAGGAAACGTTTTGAATAAGATGGAAGGACTTGCTTGCAGGTTTGGAATACATGAAATTTATGTATTGGCATTTGGCTGGTAATGAGAATGATGTGAATTATGTATAATTCAGGTTAGTTGGTACCTGATCATTGTCTCTGTATGTTCACTTCACATCATCTCTTCTTTTCCACGGGTAATGTTGGGTAATTTTGATGATTAAATGGGTTATGGGTATGGGTTTTTTGGTTGATTTATTTATTGTTTGATTAAAGGATATTTGGCTAAGTCTAGAGTAGCTGAAAGCTGGTATACTTAGTCATTTAAATGTGTCCTATTCTCGAGGAGTAGTGGACAGGTTTCTAGGTGGTTTTTTTATTACCTCCATTGGGTATGTGAGTGAGGCTATTTATAGTCTTTTGTTTTATGAATATTAGTGTAGTTTTTAGTGATACAAAATACTTTCTTCCTCTATTTTTCTTTCATCAGAATCACACAGCAAACGTGTTGTTTTACATTGTTGTTTGTTGCTGCAGGTCTATGTTGTCAAGGTCTTTGACTTCACTCTTCAGACACCTCAACATCAACATAGGAGAAAGTACAAAAATTGAAAACTTCCTGGTCAGTTGTTAATCACATCACATCAAGTGCTTTTTACTTCCTTTAGTTTTTATTCTGCTCAAAGATGATATGATTTTTGCAAGTTTAGCCATGACAATATTGTTACATGGTCGCGTGATGGCAATGTAATTATTTGGATTCCAAGATGTAAGTTTTTTTTTTCAGGATCATTTGAGATGAGTTTAGTTTTGTTTGAAGTTGAACATATCTAGTAATTGAATAGTTGTTGTTGCAGGGAAAAGCTGAAAGTGCCACCTCAGCCACATTAACACCAGAGATGCCTTCCAACTCCTCGTGGAGTTAATAATAGAACTTGTAAGATGATTGATTTTGAATGAGAAGGATTTAGTCATAATAGAACTTGTAATTCCTTCCTTGCCTTTCTCATTTATTCATCATATATTTATACAAGTTATGTGAGTATAAATTAAGAAAGTATTCCAACTGCTAAGAGAGTCCTAGTGTAATACAAATACTGTAATATCACTACTAGAAACATGAGTTTTAGAGACGGACGAATCCGTCGCTAAAGATCATTTGCGACGAATCAACCACAAACTTACTCTATAGCGAACTAAAGGGTGGCTAATGAATTAGCGAGGGATTTAGCGACAAATTAGTTCTTTCTAGCGACGACCTTAGCAACAGAATATCCATTGCAAAATGGCACTTAATACTGTTAGTTAGGACATTAGAGACTAATACCAATATTCCGTCGCTAATCCCTTGCAAACCTCTATATCTATTTTTTTTTCTGTTGCTAATCCCTCTCAAACTTTAGATGTGATTTTTTTTCTGTCCGTCACTGATCTCTCACAAATTTAAGATGTGATTTTTTTTTCTTTCCGTAGCTATTCCCTTGCAAATACATAATATCATATTTTTGTTTGTTTTGAATCTAAAACAAAATAATACCAAAAAATCAAATAATTATATAATCCCAAAACAAATATTAACATTTAAATACCAAAAACATCCAATAATTATGCAATCCAAAACCAAACTTTAACATTAAAATATCAAAAGAATCTAACCATCAAAGTTTACCAAAACATCCATAAGCATCAAATATCAAAGTTTAACATTGATTGATATTTGATTTCAAGGTATAATGTACCATAATTCTAAATTTCCTCTCATATTTTGCATTCCCGCATACACATTCTCCGTTGTTTGATATCTTGGAATTGGGATTCCAATTCCCGTTCAATCCCATGGAATTGGGAGAACCAATTTCCATTTAGTTTTTCCTACAATGGAAGGAGACTTGGTTGCTTGATGTCTTCCTGCTTTTTGCTAGATTCAGGGTCTTTGTTGGAAGCAATGCTTTTCTGTTGATAAAAAAGAGATTAGTGTCTACTCATTTGAAACCAAATGCGGGACTGGAATGGAATTAAATTCCAATTCCAACCAAAAAGCAAATGATAATACATGTTGGTGAAAGAAAATCCTGTGTTTGCAAATTCGTCGTCAGAAATTGTAATCTCTTAAACATATACACCCAACAAGATGTATGTTCTAAGGTTCTTTGCTTAGACAGAATGGAATGGAATGACCAAGGTAATGGAATGAATCATTACCTCAACCCCTTCATACCAAACATTGCTTAAGAGAAAGAAATTAAGTAAATCCAAATACAATTTAACTAAATTATGTATCAAAATGGTCGATTAAATCTTTAAAGAACTTACTTGTCCCGGTTGGCAGCAGACATAAGACTTTGGGACTTCTTCCTTCCATTATTCCCCTGATCCCCCTCTCTGTATGATCAATATATTGAAACTTGGACAATGTCTAAACACATAAAAAAGATAAAATAATCATTAAAAAAAGATTTTACCGTAATTTAAAGATAAAGTTACAACATTGAACAACAGTCAAACCTTGGTCAACACATAGAGAATTCACTATATATAAATGTGAGTTAAATGGTTTAAAAAATATAAATGATAAAGGTGAAAGAAAGAAAGAAAGTTACCTTATGTTCTATTAAAAGAACTTTAAGAACTTTCTTGTTGACTCCTCTTTTACTGCATGGAATCAATTATAAGATCAGGCATAAAAAATAAAATACAATCTTCTTTTTTTATAACTTTGAATTTCTTTTTTGCATCTTCTTCATCTCCGCAGCTTGTGCCTTGAGAGCTAATTTTTCTAACTTCTCTTGTTTAAATATAAGATGTATTATTTATCAGTATGTTAATATACATAGCACATTATTAAATGCAATTTTATATTTTTTAAAATTACTAAAACACATACCTCTTTTTTGTTGTTTCTTTTCATTCATCAAATGAGCTTTTTCTTCGTTAGTAACTCCTTTCTTTCCTGCCATCACACTAGTTTTTACTTGTCAAATTCTCAATATCATCTTCTTCTCTAGAATGAATAGAGACCTAACTACCATTTCAAACAATTAATAAATTAGAAACCTTACAGACTAAAAATTTAATGTTTATAAACACATAAAAAGAGAACAAGATAATAAATTTCAAGAAGAAAGTACCAGGTGGTTCATCGTCTAATATATATTTGAAGCAAGAGTTGTCTATATATATATATATATATATATATATATATATATATATATATAGATATATATATATATATTAGTTTTATACCCGTGGGAACCACGGTTACAAAATTAATTTAATTTTCATAGCAAAAATTATTCAATATTAATCAATTATTTTGAATAAAAAATTTTAAATAAATTATTAATTAAGAGATATACTAAAATTTTAGAGTTAGTTAGAACTTCAAATTTAACATATAATTAAAAAGTAAATGTTTCTATAAAAAGTTTAAAATCTATTGATTAAAACCTTAACCTCATTAATTGTGATAGTCATTTGCCTAATATATCTCTTTGACACATGGCATAATATTAATATGGAGTTGTATTAAAATGACACATAACAAAATGAGATTAAAACTATTTATTTATTAGTATAAGGATATATATATATATATATATATATATATATATAATATATATATATATTATATATATATATATGATTTGTGTTAGTATTTAATTAGTATTTGCTGATAACTTAAAGCAAAATGGCAATCTAACACCACTTTGAGCTAATCGCCAATTAACAATTGGTAAACGAGACAAAAATTAGTCATCTCCAAGAACATAATCATTCCCAAAACTCCTTTGTATGCCCAACTACATGCTGCTTTTATTCCTTCAGTTTCATATTTGTTGAAAGTAATCAAATTTTTAAAAAAAAATGTTCTTTTCTAATTGTTTTTTGCATCTATGTATTATATATGGTTTCACGTACATGTTGGGACAAGTATTCTGATTTTTGATACACTTGTCCCATGTTGGAACTTGATTTGCCCATTCTTTCTGCCAAACAAAATGTATAAAAATACTAATTAAAATGTCAAAAAAAAAAAAAAAACTTTCAAATTATTAAACAAATCATGTAAAGTAAATATGCAGTAATACTATTATGTTAATCTGAATAGCTTTGACTAGATTTTCAACATCAGAATCATAGAATCTTTCTTCTGCAGTCTCAATTATGTGTCATCCCAAACCTGCATAACGTATTGTATGTATCTTTTGATCATTAGTTTAACGAGATCAATCTTAATTTATATTACATAATGATAACTATTTTAGGAGTTTTACATGATGAAGTTCTGATTTTCTTGTGAACCAATGAACATTAATCGTGTTCCCACTTCTATCCGAAGTGAATCCTACATGTAGCGGTTGTAACAGGGGCAAATTAGTCTTTTTAACTTGTTAGATAATAAAGTCAAATTGCTTACTATCACATACCTGATGAATATCTCCCATGAAATGAGAAAGAAAGAGAAGCGCTTCTGTGAGATTATCTGCAGATATATAATAATGTTTTTCATCTTCAAAGTTGATAAAATCTAGAAATAAAGAATCAGATGAAGAAATTTGTAAATTTAATTACACTGAGATGTTTGTTTGCCATAGTCGAGTAGATGAGCGTTGTAATGGTTAATTGCTCTGGCAACACATCTTCTGGCCACTCCACATATTGTTGTCGTTTTGACATTAAGCCCCTTGTCAAATGCTTACACCCGGTACCAAATTCATATCATACAAATTCATCCTGCAAGATTTTTAAATTGTAATAGGAAAAAGAAAGTGTACGTAAGCAACAAGAAATCCCTAGGAAAACCAAAATTATGGAGTTAAGGAAGGCATAGCTTAGAAAAACGAGTTATGATTTGATCTAAAATGAAAGAGAAGAAAGAGATCTACATGAAAATAGAACTTATAGACAACTAGAAACCAGACTAGGAAGGTGATGAAGGCTAGAGTTCACGATAAATGATAAACCAACAGACCAAATGTTGTTGCAGGGAAACGGCGAGTCAACTAGGAAAGCAGATGGACCGAGAGGAAAGCAAGCGATGATGTGATTTATGAGGGTTTTCTATACTTTTCAAGTATACTTCAAAGAGGGACGACGCAGGTGCACGGTGGTGGAGGTGATTTTCCGGGGGGAGGAGGAATTTGAGTCGACAAAGGTCGATTAGGGCTTTTGGAGAAAATTGTTTAGAGTTTGGGGATGAAAATAAAATGAGGGAAAGAAAAAAGAGAAAAGCGGGAAATGAAAAAAAAGGAGGCGTCCATTTTCTGTGAGCGGTTGGCGAGGGATAAGAAAAAAAAGGCGTGTGATTTTTGGTAGTCCGTTGTTGTTCCCTCACTAAAATGTTTTAATTTGCAACGGATTAACGAGAGAACTTTTTTGTCGATAAATTCTTGCAATTCAGTCGTTGATCCCACGGTAATACCTCTCTAAAAGTCTATAAGTACGTTGGTCGAAATATTTGTGCGTTTCGTGGCTGATCTCTCGGTAAGCCGTCATTAATTAGCTACGGATACAATCTGTAGCTGATTCCGTCGCTGAAGGTGTGTGTGTCTCTCTCTCTCTCTCTATATATATATATATATATATATATATATATATATATATATATATATATATATACATATATTAGCCATTTATCCGCGCCTAGCGACGGGTGCAAATATTATTTTTAAAAATTAGTTTCTAGAAAAGATTAGTTCTTTTGCGTAAATAGTTACATCTAAACAATTATCAATAAGGGTTATGTTTTTGGTAGGACAACCATGTAAAGGGGCCTTTTGGGAGGCCGGTGTCACCTTTCAGTTGACACCATGCCAAGATTCCAACCCGAGTTACTTCCCTTTGGAGTGGTGGATACATGTAATTACTAATAGTTGACTATACAATATTAATCGTGCAATAAAATCGTTGAACTTTTTTTTTCAGGATGTCACACTGAACAATGCAACGTAAAGTTGTCCGTGCGAGAATGCCGATTCTGGTAGATATTTTAGCTACATTCAGAATTGTTTGTTGTCCTTAAGCTTTATTGATGATCATCGTAAAACATATTCGACTTAGTCCATAAACAATAATAACAACTAAAAGTATTAAATTAATTTATCTTTCTTATTTCACCTTACCCCAAGACATTTTTATATAGATAGGAGTAGAACAATTTTATTTGAAGTCATTTATATATGTAATGTAAAAAATACAACTCAGTACATTTGCACATCCTAAGCATTTCAAATCCATAAATAAGAGATTCTTTCAAAATTACATTTTTTTTTTTTGCTAATGATGTTGATTCCAATATTCTAGTCTTAAACATCTACAGTTGGATCCTTAAATTGAAGAATAATACCAAATCCAAACAGTTAACATTGCAAGTGATAACAATTGAATACAACCTTTATAAGCCTTTATACGCCTTAGAGGAAAGATCCAATTGATTTTATTGTGTCCCTTGTAATAAATGAAGGCATGATCAAAAGCACAATAGTATGTAGTTATATTTGTTACTTTTGTGTACCTGATGACTAAAATCAAAATATTATAAATGAAATTATCTAAGAAAATGAAAGATAAAGAAATGTGATTACCTTGTAAGTATTTACACCGTCACCAACAGTCATTTCCGGATCATCCAATATGCTATCCGTATCCGGATGCATCAAAATAATGGTGTCAAAGTTCCCACATTCTTCGTTTCTTACAAAATTTACATGAACAAATAAAGGCTATTTTTTTTTATGATAAGGGCATTTTTTGTCTTTTACAAAAAAAAAGATAAAAAAAATTGTGATTAATACATGTTGGATTTGTGTCTAACCCGTAACTATATTTGGTATGTACTTGACCCGGTTGTGCATGGTCCTTTTGGGTTGCCTTCACCAAAGCAACTTGATAGGATGATTTATGGAGAAAGAGGATTAATTATGATTTATTAATATATTATATGAATAATATATTAAAGGAGAAATCATATTGTTTAATTAATATTAGTCAATAATTAATTAAGATTTAGTTTTGTGACTAAAAGACATTAATTAAACTTAGGGGACTGGAATTGTAATTATAAGATAATTGCAATTAGGCTATGGATCACCTTGGAACATAAGTTAGACGAATTCTATGGGAAGCCCATAAAGAAATCGTCCAAGGGGTGTTCTAAAGGGAGTCTATGGGCTGCTTATGGCCTAAGCTACCAAATTAGGGTTTCCTAGTTGAAAACCCTAATAGCCTACCTATATAAGGAACCCCTAAGGCCCCAAAAACGTGGCTAACACTTCTAAGAGAATCCTAGACGTTTTTTGGTGCCTCCTCCTCTTTCTCATAAGTCATTCTCTTGCTTATGGTGTTTGTAAACCATTAGAGGAGTGACACTTGTGACTCTAAGCTCCAAAGACAAGAAGATTCAAGCTATTGAAGAATAGGTAATCATGTAGATTTGCTCTTATGTGATAATTTCGAAATTCATATGCCAGATTAGGGTTCTTGAGTCTTGGATGAATTGCATGTACAATAGAGAAACCTAGATCCAAGCATTAGGGTTTGTATGAGCACATAAGATGTTCTTTTGTATAAAACCCATCAGTGGTATCAGAGCCTTGATTGGTTTTTGTTTTATGTGATGCAATGCTTCTTTATCTGCTGAAAATCGAGTTTCTGGCCTCTGCCCTACCCGACTCGGCGAGTCAGTATCTGGACTCGGCGAGTCTGCCCAACTCGGCGAGTCCCAGGTAGTGACTCGGCGAGTCCGGGAGTCAGGCAGAAGATATTTCGGGATTTATTGCTGTTTTGCTGAAGGATAATTGCTAAAATCGTTTTCTTATGATAAAATCCGAATTTTATTATTTCTATATGATTATCCTTACCAAAACAAAAGATAATTTCAAATTGTTTGAATCAAGGTTGTAAAAATCGCTCGACGGTAGCTCGACGGTCGACTGGTGTTAAGGGATTAATCGGTCTTGGCGGGGATTAATCGGGGACCATAGATATTAATTACAATATTAAAATTAATTAAATATTAATATATCTTAAGAAAAAAGAGTACTTCAAAATTAGAAAATAAGAAAAATTGTAATTTGGAAATTTGGAAATACGAAAATATGAAAATTTTGGTATTATATTCGAAATTTTGAAAATTTGAAAATTTTAGATTAAAAAAAGTTTGTTTTTTGAAAAAAAAATTTGAATTTTTTTTTAAATTTTTTAAATTTTTATTAAAATTTTTTGACATTTTTTTGACATTTTTTGACTTTTTTCGACTTTTTTTGACTTTTGTTGACTTTTGTTGACCGATTAATCCCGCCAAGGCCGATTAATCCCGCCAAACCCGATTAATCCTAAATTTCCGTTTAATGCCCTAATCATCGACGGTTGGAGAACGCCAAGCGATTAATCAACGATTAATCGCCGATTAATCCCGATTTCTGCAACCATGGTTTGAATAATAATTTCCTTATATGATAAAAGTTGATTATTTAAATTATTTGGTAAATTATCTTGTAAATAATTTTGATTAGGTCAAATTTAGATATTCATAAATTAATTGTTTAATTTAAATTATTTGCTATTTGATCCTTTGGTTTTGGAAAAGTTTCCAAAACTTGCCCTCAAGTTTTGGAATTTAAATTTTGATTAAAAAGTTTAATTTTGAAATATTTAAATTCTAAACTCTAGATAGTTTCGAAAAGTTTCAAAACTTTCCCTCAAGTTTTGGAATTTAAATTTTTGATTAAAAGTTTAATTTTAAAATGTTAAATTCTAAAACCCTAATTTTTTGAAAAAGTTCAAATTGCACCCTTATGGTTTTATTAAATTAAGTGTATAATTAAAAGAGAGTTAATAAACCCATAATGATATGGTCTACATTTAATTAAATTAAGAGTGTAACGTGTTAAATTAGACCACATAGTATTTTAAAAGGTGTAAAATACACCCTTATACTATATATAACATTAAAAGTCTAATATTATATATATATATATAACTTAAACTGCTAGTCTTACCGTTAGTAGGCCTCATTCACGAAGCCGATCTATAAGGGGGGTATAAGGTTATGGCCTATAAAATGGCCGTTTAATGGGTGCCTACTCTCATCCACCGCTTCCTTGATTGGTGGAGGGTCGTTAGCCGAACGGGTAGGATAGGGCAAACCCTTTCCATTAAAAGTATAATAATATTAAAGTAACTAAATGTTTTACAAAAAATTCCCAATCTTAGTTACTTTAGGCAAAAGTGAATTGATGCAATTCCATGAAATTACACTTTGTACCCTCGCTAAGATGTTAGTGGAGCGTGTGTGGTTAACCGGCACACTAAATGAGCTCTAAGAAAAGGTAGCAAAGGGTGACTCGATGTTTGTCATAGTTCGGTGGAGCGTATGTGGTTAACCGGCACATCGAATAGATGACTGTAACATTGGGGGCACCATGTAAGTTTGCATGGTTATTCACACCCTGTTTTGTGATCCTCGGCATCCCAGTCACAAATCGAGGGGCATATCGAGATTTAAACATGCCATTGAAAAGTTCAATGAATCTCAAAGGATCTAGGAGTTTTCAATACATTTAAAACTTAATCTCTTTTTTTTTTTCATGGTGGAAAATTAGTGAATCGTCATTCACTTACCTACAAATGTTCTGCAATTTGGGTTACGACATCCCTATCCCAAGTTGTAGAGTATTATGTTGGGTTCTAGCCTTAATATCTCATTTGGGTGATTTATTAAGGACTCAATCAATCAACTAACTTGAATTTTTTCTCCCGTTTTGTAGATGTCAAAGTATGACAACTATGGTCTTCCCAAATCTCGTGGAACAAGCTTTCCACATGAAGATGATATTCCACGATTCGATCGAGGAACACGATCATGCTTCACTTCCTCCACCTCCTCCTATTGTTCTCCCTAACCCACAAGTTCAAAGGCTTGAAAAGTTCAAGCTCACTCAAGCCCTTTTGGTAAGTAAACATGAAGAAGGAAAGTCAGTTTGTGCACCCGTCTTAAAGATGAAGTCGCACATTGACAGGTTAAGAATGTTGGGAGTCGTTGTCTGTGAGGAGCTGGCTGTTGACTGGGTTCTTCAGTCGCTTCCTGACTCATATAGTGAGTTCGTAAGAGAGTACTATATGATAGACCACGACGTCACCCTCATCGATCTCCCTATTTGCTTATTGCTGCTGAAATCAGCAATGATTTGGCGCACTGGAGAAGCGAAGCAAAGTTGATTGGTGGATCTACCTTCCAAACCTCTATGGACATAGGCAATGGCAACGAAAGGCATGCCATGGTCGAAAAGTTTGATCATAAGAGAAAGGAAAAGTCTGAAGTAGTTCCGTGTGCTGTTCCAAAACAGTCAATTTGCTTTTATTGCCAAGAGAGGGGGCATTGGAGACGAAGCTGCCCAGTCTACCTGAGAGATCTAAGAGATGGGATAGTCAAGACGTTTGGCTCTACTTCAGGTAAAATCCACTATCTAACTCCATTAAGTTCTTATTCATTGATTCTTAATACATAATGTGATAAATTACATTTTGAATGTTTGCAGGATCAGAGAGAAAAGAGAGGAAGCTTGATGGAAGAGCAAGATGAGTCTGATCACGAAGAAATGGATCACGATCGCATGGATTCGAAGATCAGATTTTGAGCTTAGAAAGTTATGATAGATTTGTTAGGAATATTTGATTACATAGTTTTTCAGTTGATTTTGCATTGTAAGGACATGTTTTCCGCTGATTTTATGAATAAAATAAATTTTTTGATTTGTCTTTTTATATATGTCCTTGCAATAAAATCGTTGTGAAAAATTGATGTTTGTGTATTTCTATAAATGGATATGATTCTTAGTTTATGTTATTTATGGAGTGTCAAATTTCTCTAAGTAAGGAAAGATTCTCATCGCCCAAGTTTCAGTTGGACAGAAGCTTGGAATCATATGATTTGAATCATGTGATGCATGGAAATCTTGGTACTTGGGAAATTAAGACTAATTCCTTGATCACACAAGTATGTGAGTCAAGTGAAGGACTAAAGGAACTAGTACACAATGTTGTGCACCAGTCAAGTCCACCATAAATAACAATCACATTATTTGTCATGATTTACTAAAGGTCTAGTAAATGTGGTTATACTTACAAGATTAAGTATAATTCTGAATCATTGAAAAGTTTCAATGAATGGCAGAACGAATAAGTAGAACAATGAGGCAGGAGAGAAAGTAAAAAGTTTCTCCAATCTAAGAAGAAGGGAGAGTACTTTTGTATTGTGTTTTATGATCATCTTGTTGATTATGAAACCATATCACAATTAATCCTCTAAGGATACCTTAGTGCACTGGTTTGGCTAAGAAGAGGAATGGAGAATTGTTGAAATAGTTAAGTCAATAAGATGTATCGTACTTCGTTCCAAAATCAAGTCTTAGAGTCATATTCCAAGATTGTGACTTGAGTGACATAATCTTAAGTAGGAATGTTCTTAAACTTGCACATTTTGGTAAGTTGTGATGTCTTGAATAAGACAAAGACCAACTAGTACCAAATTGCGCGTAGTTTTGTCTTGATATTGACACACACTAACTCTTGGATATTTGTTTATGTCAAGAAATGTTTCTTGATAAGAGAATCTAATATGTCAAGAGGTCAGTGGGAGTCTAAAGATCTTAAAAAG